CTCCCAAAACCCTTTTTCAAAAAAAAAAAAAAAAAAAAAAAAAAAAAAAAAAAACCCAATAAAATCTCTCTATACTCTTTGCGTGTGCTGGGAATTACATGATAAAGGGTACATGAAAAGGCATATACCTCTAAGGTACATCCTGTAGTGGTTTGAATGAAAATGTCCCCTATAGGCGCCAAGTATTTGGACATCTTGTCCCCAGATGATGGCACTGTTTTGGAAGGTCTTAGAAGGTGTGGCTCTCCTGGAGGAAGCACATCACTGAGGGTGGGCTTTGAGAGTTCTTAAGCCTTGCCAGATCTCCAGTTGTCCTCATTTCCTGTGCCTGCTGGAAGATGAAGAGTTTAGCTTCAGCTCCTCCTCCAGCCACCTTTGCCGCCATACCTCCCTGCTGTGGACTGTAATTCCCCTGAAACTGTAAACTCAAATAAACTCTTCCTTTTATAAGTTGTTTTGGTCAGTGTTCCTATCACAGCAACAGAAAAGTGACTAATATAGTAATTAGTACCAGAGTGGGCTGTGGCTGTGAAGAACCTGACCATGTGGGGTTTTGAAGAAATGTGGAAGATTTTGGAAGGTTGGGCTAGAAAACCAGTTGATCGCAGTAAACGAAGCTTAACAGGACATTCTAGTAAGCACCTGGAAGTTGTGCTGAGAACAAGGTAGTTTCACAGAGAAATAAGGACTTAAGCAGAACCTGGGATATTTTGGCAAAGAGTCTGGCTGGAGTCTGCCCTCAACCAAAAGGGTTGCCTGAGGCTAAGTTGAAAAGCTATGGACTAATTTCTCTGGTGGAAGAAATTTCAAGACAGCCTAATGTAGAAATGGTGGCATGGCTATTATTGGTGAATATCATGCAGATCTACAGTGAAAAAGAGCAAATGGGGCAGAAAGAAATACAGTTTGGATTGAAATATAGCACTGGGTGAGGGACTGGAGAGATGGCTCAGCGGTTAAGAACACTGGTTGTTCTTGCAGAAGACCCAGATTCATATCCCAGCACCCACATGACAGTTAACAACTGTCCGTAACTCTAGTCCCAGGGAATCCGACAGCCTCTTCTGACCTCCATGGGCACTGCAGGACACAGGTGCACTTACCTACATGCAGGCAATACACACATTCACATAAAAATAAAATAAAATTTAAAAATAAAAATATAGCACTAGGAAGATAAATGTTGGAGCCTTGACTGTGCTGGAGATCCCTTTGCTAAGGAGATCAAAGTGATTAAGGAGGGGCCTAGAGATTCAAACTTTATGAGCGTGCCTCCAAGGCAAGACCACACCCAGTTAAGCTTCCAACTTGTGAAAGCAAAATGCTGCAGGGGCCACTGAAAACTTTCTAAAATGGATAAAGCAAGTTGGAGTCCATCAAAAACTTGCAAACTTGGCAGTGTCATTCACCTGGTGCTGGCTTTAGAGGCATGAAAAATGCAAGAATGAAGGGGTCATCAGTTCTTCCTCTGCAGTTTCAGAGATCTGCCAAGGCCAGGCAGAGTTCAGCAGGAGTTCTCTTGCATAAAGGCCCTGATAGGCCATTGCTTGAAGCTGTGAAAATGAAGCCTGGTTGGCAATGGAGACCCCAAGACGTTTGTGATGCCAGAGCTCTGAGGCATCTGCCAAGAAGACCTGCATACAGGAAGTGGTACCAGCCCAAAAGAGATGTGTGTTGCAAGCAGCAAAGCTAGAGAAGCTGAGCCATCTAATCCCTTTGGAAGTAAAAGTCCTAAAAGTTGGACGTGGGGCTACTGGATTTGGCATTTTCTCTCCTGGTTTTTGTTGTTTTGGTCTAGTATTTCCTTACTATGCCATCATTCCTCCCTTTTGGAACGGTAATGTGTATTCAGTTCCACTGTGTGTTGGGAGTATGTAATTTTTTTGATTTTATACAGGTTTATAGTTATTTACCTAAAGCTAGGCATGGTGGCACACACTTGTAGTCCCAGCAGTGGGGAGGCAGAGGCAGGCGGATCTCTGAGTTCAAGGCTGGCCTTGTCTACATAGTGAGTTCCAGGACAGCTGGGGCTACAGTGAGACCCTGTCTCAAAAAGACAAAAAAAAAAAAAAAAAAAAGACATTTACCTGAGTCTCAGAACAGACTTTGGACTGTGGACTTCTGAATAGTATTGGGACTGATACTAACTATGGGGACTTTTAGCGTCTGGACTAAATGCAATTTGCATTTTATGATCATGAGCCTATAGGGGCCAGGGGGTGGAATGTGGTGGTTTGAATGAAAATGTCTCCCATAGGCTCAAAGTATTTAGACATTTTGTCCCCAGATGATGGCGCTGTTTTGGGATGTCTTAGGTGTGGCTATCCTGGAGGAAGCACCACACTGGGGGTGGACTTTCAAGGGAGTTCTTAAGCCTTTCCAGATCTCCAGTTGCCCTCCTGTTTTCTGTGCCTGCTGTAAGATGCAGAGCTTAGCTTCCACTCCTTCTACAACCACGTCTTCCGCCATGCCTCCCTGCAGTGATGGACTGTAATTCCCCTGGAACCATAAGCTCAAATAAACTCTTCCTTTTATAAGTTGTTTTGGTCAGTGTTCCTATCACAGCAACAGAAAAGTGACTAATACACATCCCAACCTCTATCACCGTATTTTTCTATGAAGTGTACATTTTCTATATAGTTAAGCTGATCATGTTCAAGGAAAGAAAAAGTTTTCTCCTTCAGTTCCTGCTTCCATGTTCCTGCTGACTTCCCTTGGTGATGGACTGTGTGACTTGGGAGTTGGTTGACCACATTGGTTTTGGACAGTGTTTTATAACAGCAATACAGAAGCAAAATAATACAAAACCTTATCTCAAGGATAAACAAATACAAAAATTTATTTCACTGAATACATTCAAATGTCCATGTCCAATGAGGCATTCTAAAATAGTGGAATGTTTTCCATAACTGATTTTATCCACAAATGATCATGAACATAAATGTTCAAAATCAAGATGATATGCAGATATATGGCACAACTTTTACAAGAACATTACAATTGAGCCACATTTCAAGCCCAATTAATTTTTTACACTAAATGTGTTCTCATTTTCCCATCTGGTGGTTAGTAATGTGGGAGTGTGGCCGAAGGCCTTAATTCGCTCTTTAAGTTTCATAATAAAGTCAACTGAAATACAGCAGCATATTTTCACACACTCTATTCCTCTTTTTATCACCTCTGTTCAGTTTCTGATGGCAATTGAACTTCAAATTGAATTTAAAAAGTTTTGGCACTCTCTATTTTTATGGTTTCAAACATGGGGTTCAACTATTATTACCTGACTTAGTACATGTTAAGAATGTTTCACTGCTCCTTGTTTGAATCTGTGTTGTTTAAGGCTCAGTAAAATGGCAGCACAAGGCCACAAAATAGCTGGGACTGAAAGGGTGTGGTAACATACCTCATTAAAATTTTATTATACCTGGGATCTCATGTATGAGAGAGTAGTATCCTAAAGTAGCATCCTGAATTGTTTCAAAGGTGCCTACTTTCTTTAATTTCATGGAGCCTTGCACCTGTATAAGTTTTCAGATGTGAATTGATGGTTAGAATATTCTGCTGTGTTCTTTGCATTCACAGTCTTACCTACATATGCACTGATAACTGAGATATGACAAAGTGTTTCTACAATTCTAAAATTCACTTGAGATTTTCACATATATGGCTTCTCTTAGCACATACAGAAAACAATGCAGTACTGTTTTCCAACAATCTTTACAGACAGATGCCTTACACCTGTGTGTGTTTACTGATGCTGGCTGGCTCATGGTAGAAAGTTTTCATGCACTGTTTACATTCATAAGTCTTTCAATTGAATGCTTTCTCTGATGACAACTGAGGATGGACTTGCTATAGGAAGCATTCATGTAGTCTTTACATTTTTAGGCTTTCTAATCTATAAGCTCTGATTCAGAGTGAGGTGTGCCATGGGGGGGGAGTTTTCTGAAAATTGTACACTCACAGGGTTTCTCCTTTATACGAGTTTTCTGATCAAGTGGGAACTTGCTGCAAAATGCTTTCCAACATTAGTTACATTCAATAGTTTCTCCCTTGTGTGAGTTTTCTGATGTTGGGTGAGGTGTTTCTTGAAGTAGTAAGCTTTCCTGCATTCTGTACATGCATAAGGTTTCTCACCTGTATGAGTTTGCTGATGTTGAATAAGATGTGACATCCAGGAGAAAGCTTTCCCACATTGTGTACATCTGTATGATTTTTCTACTATATGAGTTTTCTGATGTAGAGTAAGATGTTTCTTGCGGTAGAAATCTTTTCTGCACTCTGTACAGTGATAAGGCTTCTCGCCTGTATGAGTTCGATGATGCTCAGTGAGCTCATACTGGTTGTAGAATGATTTTCCACACTGTTTACATTCATATGGCTTCTCACCTGTATGAGTTCTCTGATGTGCAGTGAGCCCAGACTTACTGTAGAATGCTTTCACACATTGTTTACATTCATATGGCTTCTCACCTGTATGAGTTCTCTGATGCAGAGTGAGTTGCGTCTTGGAGTAAAATGCTTTTGTGCATTCTGTACATTCATAAGGCTTCTCGCCTGTATGAGTCCTCTGATGCACAGTGAGGTTTGACTTGCAATAAAATGCTTTTCCACATTGTTTACATTCAAAGGACTTCTCACCTGTATGAGTTTTCTGATGTACAGTGAGGTTAGACTTCCAGTAGAATCCTTTTCCACACTGTTTACATTCAAAGCGTTTCTCATCAGTATGAGTCTTTTGATGGTGAGTAAGTTGTTTCTTGAAATAGAAAGCTTTTGTGCACTGCGTACATTCATAGGGCTTCTCATTTGTATGAGTTCTCTGGTGTCGAATGAGGCATGCATTGAAAGAGAAAGCTTTCCCACATTCTGTACATTCATAGGGCTTCTCACTTACATGAATTCTCTGATGCAGAGCCAGATGAGAGTTGCAGTAGAAAGATTTTCCACACTTTGTACATTCATAGGGCTTCCCTCCTGTATGACTTCTCTGGTGCTGAATGAGCTGTGACTTGTAGTAAAAAACTTTCCTACATTCTAGACATTCATGTGGATTTTCACCTGTATGAGTTCTCTGATGAACCGTGAGATGTGACTTGTAGCTGAACGATCTTCCACATTCTGTACATTCATAAGGCTTCTCACCTGTATGACTTCTCTGGTGTTCAGTGATCTGTGACTTGTAGTAGAAATATTTCCCACATTCCATACATTCATAGGGCTTCTCACCCATATGAGTGGTCTGATGTTCAGTGAGCTGAGACTTACTGTAGAAAGCTTTCCCACTTTCTTTACTTTCATATGACTTCTCATCTGTATGGTTTCTCTGGTGTTCAGTGTGGTGTGGCTTCCAGGGTGTCTCCTCTCTATGAAGTCTCAGACATTTAGTTGTTTTACAAGTGAAACTTTTACATGAGTGAGACATCTGGTTCCTCATATGTGGTGATTTTTGGTAAGACACCTTCATACATTCTTCATAGGATTTTGTCCCTTGGTGGATTTTCTGTATCATCTTTAGTTCTGCCTTGAAATAGAGAAATTGGTTATACTTCTTTTAGCCTCAGGACTTTTTCCAGCATGTGCTTTCTGTTGTTGGTTTGGAATCAATTCTTAGTGAATTATTCTTCAAAAAGTCATTTATATTTGTTGCCTATATGTACTTAGCCATTTACTGAGTTTACTTTTCTTAAAAATCATTATTCAACACATAGTCATTCAATGTTTTATCTCCTTACCTCATCAATTTCTTGTACTTATATTTTTTCATATATACAGATATACAGTGAGTCTATCAGAGATCTTTTTTACATGAAAATTCATGTGCAAGTAATATTGTCTTTTTTAAAATGATATCCCTTGTCAAATTTACTGAAAATAATACTGCCAACTTTGATTGCTGTTATGATGAATAAGATGGTCAGGCTGTCACAGTGATTTTTCACTTATCTTAAAATGATCAAGTTGTTCTCCAGCTGGCATCTTAATTGTCACACATCAGAGAAAGTACATTCAGCTACCCATTCTTTTGTGTGAGTATGGGAAAAGGGGTGTGTGTGTGTGTGTGTGTGTGTGTGTGTGTGTGTACACAAGTTCATGTGTGTTTGTGTGCACATGGCTGGATGAGTATGTACATGTGTGTGTGGGTTTTGGGTGATCAGAGGCTGAAGTAATGTGTGTCTTCCTCAATCATAACCCTATTTTTTGGAGACAGAGTCTCACTGGACCTGAAGCTCACTAATTTGGAGAGATAAGCTGGTCAGTAAACCCAAGGGATTCTAATCTCTCCATCTTTGCAGAACTGGGTTATAGGTGCATACTGCCACAGCCAGCTTTATACATGAGTGCTAAGGAACTGAACTCAGGTCAATATTCTTGAATGCCAAGCATTTTACTGACTGAGCAATTTCCCCAGGCCTGAGTTAAGTACTTCCATTTTCAAAACTACACTGTATGCTTACATGTCTGGGGATCAAAAGAGAACTTTCAGGAGCTGTTCTTCCACCATATGGGAATTATGGATCATTTTACATAGTACCATCTTGCTGGCCAAAGTTAAATTCTTGAAGAAACATTTCTCAATAATTTCCAGTCTTTGTTTAGATTTGAAATATGTTTAGAGCTTACATTACATGGCTCACTTACTTCAACAATCTCTTCATTTGATGTCTTGCTAGTGGTGATTTCACCTTGACACAAATGTCTCTTGTTATTTTCCTGGCCAGTCTCAATTAAGGAAGTTACTTCATGAACATCTAAAATGATACATTATTATAAATATTCCTACCTATGAATAACTCTTAAGTTGTTTTCATGCAATTCAAACATAAAAATGTGTCTCCTTATCCTCATGGAAACTGTAAAATAATATTGACTTACGGTAAGTACACACATTTTAATTCTTCATGAATAAATGTAAGAAATGATATTAGTATACACTACAGAGCTAAGTCATGTCCCTTTGTTACCTCATTTACTCTATTGAAACTTGTGGGGATAAAGTATCTACCTATTTCTTAGTTCCAGGTTTCTACATGGTAATTTTTACCTGATTGTTCCTTTTATCTGTTATAATAACTCAACATATAATTTCATCCTACATCATAGTTCTTTCACATGTGAAATTGAAAGATTTTTCTTCTTAACTACATTTAGGACAGAAGCATGGTCAATATTCTCTTGACTAAGCAGAAACATAGGTTAGGAAAACGATTTCTATACATTACTTAAGTTTATTTACCTCACCCTTAGAAGAAAAAATACATTGCTTCACAGTTTTTCTGAGGCAAATTATCTTCCTCCAAAAGTAGAAGATGGCTTCCCCAAAATTCTTTCTTTAATCCACCTGTTTCACATATTCCCATTCACCTATTGGACCCATATGCCTTGTAAAATAGAAATGCTTTTATTAAAAATGAAACAGCCGGGGAGGGAGGCTATGGGAGGGTGCCATCTGGGAAGTGGGTGTATAGTTGAATGAGATGGTTTGGGATGTTCTGTGTGACACACACACACACACACACACACACACACAAATCAATGAATTTTTAAAAAATGTATTATATTTGAGGAGGAAGCATGGAAATTTATGTCATGCTAATTAGTAGAGGTGATAAACAATACCA